GTGGGAGGCAAGTTTCAGAGTTGCACTTGGATGTGTGTGGGTGGGAAATATATATTGTGTCGGTTGTGGGAGACGTAGGAGCGAAAGGAAAAGTGTGGAGAGAAAAGCGCCTGTGCATTTCTCTGTCCCGGGAGATGGGCCTTATTTTTCAATGGGACGGGTCAGAGTGCTTGACAAAAGGCTTTATAGCAATTCTGCGAAGCCTTTAAACGGAGGACAGCGGGCTTGAGATGGTGAAACAGCACCAAAAGAAAAAAAACTTTTTTCAGATCTTTTTCAGATTGCATTTTTCTTCTTCTTTAACAACACTAAAAACAGAGAAGTTTCCACATAACAGACGATGTCAATTTACACGTGTAAATCATTGAAAACACAGAACCACACTAGAGAAGGAAAATAAATGCTGATAGCTTTCCAACTTCATCCATTTAATAAAGGTATCGCTTGTAGCCAAACTTTATTAAAGTAATAATGCTGTTGTACTACCCTCTTTAATGAGAAGCCATTAGCTAAAACAGGCCGGCACAATACCTGCGAGCTACCTCGGTGCGTTTCAGGGGGATGCTGCTGAATATGAATGAGGGATTGTTCTACACAGGCGGCTGTTTGGGTTAATTAGAGGGAGCGTGGCATCCTGTGGTGCCGGGAACCTGTGTGGCCTCTCCTCAGCCTGGTGGGACCGAACCAATCGGGCTGATCTCTCGCCGAGGCGTTCGGGCGCCAGGCAGCTTTAAAGACAAATACAACAGACGGCGAGTCTTGTGTCCAGGTAGGGACGGGCTCTCTCGTGCTATTGACTCTTCCGACTGCGGTCACCATTAATCAGAGTCAAATGGGAAGCGGAGAAAATCCCAGGCAGGGCGAAATCCCAGGCCTGAGTGGACGTTTCGAGGAAAAGCTGCATGTGTAATAACTGATTTGAAGCGAGGCTCCTCGTTCCTGTTTCCGAATGCATCCGTCACAGTCTGGGCCTAATGAAAGATTTCCAGCCACTTTGAAAGAGAGTGGGAGGGTTATCTGTAAAACAGGTAGTATTCATAGCTCATTTTAGGGATCCAGCTTTAGTATTTATGGGGTTCTGTTCAATAGTAAAGCAGACTGCAGGTCTTAATAAAAGATGATTGCAGACTAAACCTGTTTCAACTGACATTTTCTGAATGAATAAAGCAGGCTATATCGGGAGTCCATAACACACTGGTGTGGACATGTGGTTCCTCCTTTTAATTCAGTAGATCAGGTGGTTAGGTTGGGGACATCTTGGGAGGTGTGGCCATTGGCTCAGAGAGTGCTTTTTCCTGTTGTGCCTGCTGGTAGTATTTTGTTTGAAACTTTTCTGTGTTTTCTTCCAGTTCATTTAAGTTGCTACTTTTTCCTGTTTTCTTTACAGTTTTTTTTTTACTCTATCCCTGTGTATTAAGTGATCATTATGTGATACTTTTTCCAGATTTTTATTTCTAGAGATTCAGTATTATTCAGTATTATTTCTCCTACAAGTCCCTACAAGTGTATCCAACACTTCCACAGACTTTGTATGTTCAATAGGAAATATAATAAATAACAATAACAATAGGAGACATCCATAATCATAAAGAGAGATCTTAGTTTCTGTATAGCTACTTCCATCTCTAACAGACAAATTTTCATATTTGGATCCAAAACAGCTCACATGAGTCTTATTATTTTAGTATTTTACAAGTCGGATAACAGCTCTTCCATTTCCAATGGTCTTCTTCTTCAACATTGAGGAAAAATATTTACAAGATGGAAAAGAAAGCAATTCCCAGTTTCTGGGCCTCCACCAACTTAGTGTGTCCTTAACTTTTTTAGTATACAGGACCATCGTATTGCTAGCTTTAAGTTCAGTTTGTTGTTCTGCATTTGAACGCAAGCAGGAGTTGGAGGGGAAGTGTTGCAATGCAGTGAAACGTTGATAAAACAGCACATACTTCATATAATCTGCATTTGATCACGGCTGAATTTCCAACTCCTTATTTCTGCTCGCAAGTAGGATTGGGATTGTGTACTTCCACATTCCCTGAAGGGCCTGTACAAGTAGAGTGTGCTACCTCCACAAGCAAAAAAAAGAAAAGAAAAGTATCCGGAGCTCTGAGGGGAAGTTTTAAGTGGCTTGGCATGCATCTGCAGTGAGCTACAACATGACAAAAGCTTTATCCAGCTCTCAGAGGGGGCCGTGGTTTCTCTACTCTGCCAACGTGAGCTGTGTAGGACTCCCACGGCATTCAGTGGACATTTTCACGGTTAAGTAGCACATGACACGGCTGCCGGGTGCCAAGCGGGAAAGATCCGCCTCTGGTGCCGAACAAAGCAATGAGATCCACGTGAAGCGACGACTCCTTCCAGGTGGTGTGGAGCAGGGGGGTGGGGGGTGGAATTGGATGAGACGGAAAGCTGGTCCGGCTGCCAGGCTGTAGGCATCGGCTTGGCATCTCTCTGCTAGGGCCTGTCGCAGCCAATGAGTGCCTTCCCATACTCAAAACCCCCCCTAATTTAAGTGCGAAGCGGGGGGAATGTGTCATCACCTTTGCGTGTTTGGAAGACTTTGCGCGGCGAGAGGAGGTTGAGTAGCGAGATCATAGAAATGGGATTCGCGCGTTGGCGGCTACACACTGGCTTGATTAGAGGAACAACTTCCGCGGCTATATTGCACTCAAGGCAGAGTTTGTGAACGGACAAGGAATGAACAATTACACTGGGTCACTGAAGGCAACACAGATACACGGATCTCGGCAAAGATGTTCTATTCACGCCTCACACACTCTCCAAGTATAATTCGTGGGCAGGCCTATATATACGTATGTCCTGATTATCAGCTTTACTGGTTTTGAGGTACAGCAAAAATTACATATGACAATGTGAAGCTCCAATTATGGGGGAAAAAATAATTGATGCTCCCACACTGATGTGAGGATTGGTCAAGGTGAACCTTTTGTTTCACTTTGCTGACACGTAGGCCACAATGTTAGACAGACACACTTTTTGACTAGCTTGGAGAAAATATTTTCTTTTATTAATGTGTATGCATGTCCAGTTACCTTAAAATTTTTTGGGGGGCATTAGTCGCACACCTTCTCAGGACCTGTCTGGGGTAAAAATATTGCTGAACATTTGAAATCTGTTCTCAGGCGGCATATAACATAGCGTCCCTCTCGTTTAGCAGATATTTTTTATTCAAAACAATTCAGAGGTTTAGGAACACATTGTATACAATATGAGGTACTTACCCAATTATACTTAGACCCGTGAATTGCCACTAGGAGTGAATGTCAGTGTATGTGGTTGTTTGTATCTGTTTGGCCCTGTGATGGACTGGTGACCTGTCCAGGGTCAATGTACCAGGATGAGGATCAAACAAGCTTTTGATCTATCTATCTATCTGATGGTGATGCGCTAATAATATACTTAACCTTATCGATCGTGGTAATAATCATATTAATAATGTTACATAAACTTTTAGATTTTTTGGGGGGGAAAATACATAAATAAATTCAACAAAACCACAACATCTCATTTATTGTGAGCCATTTTGTAGCTCAGTTGCAGTTTATTTAACTTTAAAATACATATTTTAAATATATAATTTATGGGTTTTTAAGTATATTATCACTTAATAATAATAATTTTGCTTCTTCACAAAAGGCTGTCTTGACTAATGCAACCCATTAACTAAGATGAACCAACATAATGATAAACCGTGTTCCAACAATAACCTGTTGAATATTTAAGGCCTTCTATCAAAATAGGGCAAAGAGCTCATAGTTGCAGGGCAAGTCCGTTAGCATCCATCAATGTACGTTTGGGTCATTGCTGTGGAAAGAAGGCTGTTTTAAAAGATCTGTTGCTCCTTTTGTCAACTACATTCCCAGGATGACAAATCTGTAGTGAACTTGCTGTTTGTCAACAACATTCGTCCAGAAAAGCATCTGTTTGTGTGTGTGTTCGGGACTTCCCAGAAAGGGAAAGTTTAGACTTCCCTTCCATGACCTTTTGCTGTAGAAGCTGGATGCTTGCATAGCTGGGCCCTGTTGTTTTGACTAGCACAGTGCAAGCAAGCAGCTCTCTCACTCGGTCTTCCTTGGGTAAGTATTCGAGGAGTTTTGTCTTTTTAAAATGAATTCCATGACATTTAAAAAAGCGTTTTCTACTCATGGCTGCTGGCTTCAAAGCCAGCAAGCATATTCTATCTGATGTTGGTTTTGTGAGGGCAAACCTTGGAGCACATCTTTATTCAAAAGAAAGAAAGAAATATATTAAAAAAAAAAAAAAAAAGGTGGTGAATTAGAATCTTCCGAGGGATTTTAAAGGCTCCCCGGACTTATGATCGGTGGTATTTAACACCCGTAATGCTCTACTTTTTACGTTTGCCAAATTTCATTGCATTGATCTTTCCTCTTATGAATAGAAAAATCAAAGTCACCGAGCTGTGGAAACTTTTCTTTCAGCCTTCAGCCCTCCTTGCTTTTCTCAGACACATTTTCTGATGAGCTGTCTGGAAAGTATGTTTCGGCTCGAAAAATTACAGTATCAATTGAAAGTGATTTGATAGAGTGAGAAGAAAAAGCAGATGGGAAGGGGGTGAGGGGGGGAGGGATGAGAGGAGACTTAAAGTCAGATGAATGGAGATTATCCTTTTGAGATGATACACTTATGGCAGACACGGATTGTATTTATGGCTGGATTGCTTTTTCAGGGGCATGAGGAGAGTGTGATTTCAGAATAATAGAGACATTCATTCTGCTTTATATGCCTGAAATATGAAAGCCTTTTCTTCTGTTTTTGTCTTTGTTCCTCTCTACAGATGTGCTGTGGACTGCTGATGATCTTTCCTCCGCAAGTGAAAATTCAATGGCAGACAAAGACTCCATTTCTCACTGCCCTTGCTACCCCTGAGCTCAGGATGACTTGTGTCATCTGCAGCTAAGCCACCGTTTCACTTCTCTCGTCAGACGGCCAGTCTCCTGTTTTTTTGCTCTCCCTTTGCCATGGCTTGTTTTCTGGCATCAGTATTTCTTTTCATTCTCCAGACATATGCCGCCCCGCCCGAGTTTGTTCAGGCAGGCCTTGGTATAACGCTCGACTCCATGGCCATTGATTCTGGACTAGCAGCCAATGTCTCTCAAGATATACCACCCCCAGGAACAAGCAAAAGAACCCCCCACAGTATCATCATCGGGGTACGTAAAGGGGGCACGAGAGCTCTGTTGGAGATGCTAGACATCCACCCCGAGGTCGCTGCCGCCGCCACCGAGGTGCACTACTTCGACTGGGACGAAAACTATGCCAAGGGCCTCGAGTGGTACCGCGACCTGATGCCCTACTCTTACCCCCACCAGATCACGATCGAGAAAACTCCTGGTTACTTTACATCGGCCCTTGCGCCAGAACGCATCTGTGCCATGAACTCGTCTATGAAACTTCTGCTGATCCTGCGAGACCCTGCCGAGCGGGTCATCTCTGACTACACCCAGGTGTATTTCAACCGGCTGGAGAACCACAAGCCAGTACAAGCCATAGAGAATCTGCTTGTGCGCAATGGGGCCCTGAATATCCGGTACAAGGCCATACAGAGGAGCCTGTATGACATCCACATGCGTAACTGGCTGGCCTACTTCCCCTTGGAGCAGATACACATAGTGGATGGGGATTCTCTGATCCGGGACCCCTTGCCAGAGCTTCAGAAGGTGGAGCGCTTCCTGAACTTGCCTCCAAGGATAGTATCCTCCAACTTCTACTTCAACCAGACCAAGGGGTTCTACTGTATCCGGAGTGACGGGCGAGAGCGCTGTCTGCATGAGTCTAAAGGACGCCCCCACCCTGCCGTCAACAGCACCGTCCTGCAGCAGCTCCGCTCCTACCTGCAGGAACACAACCGGACCTTCTTCAAGCTGGTGAAGCGCACATTCAGCTGGCAATAAGGAACCAACAGAACTCTCCCAAGCCACTATTGTCTTTAATGAAGACAAAAAAAACAGCACTTTACATACGTGAAAACAAACTGTTTGAATAGCCTCTTATTATCTACTGTTGTGATCTCTGGTTTCAGCAGAACGTTTCTTTATTTACACGATAAGGCAAATGGGAAAACAAAAGTTGGGAGAACTGTAATGTTCTAATGGAAACTAAAAAGCTCAAGTCTTTTTACTGTGCTGGAAACATTTAAGTGGTCGAACTGCAGTGATAACAAATGACTGAAATTGATGAACATTCTCTCTTTCTCTTGTTTGATATTCTTGTTTCTTGATAATAAATTGTTCCGTTTTGAAGTTTCCATTTATCTCCATTTCATTATGACCGTCAGGAGCACCTAAGCACCTCAATCTTAAGGTAGGCAGAGGCATCCAGATAAGCCTTTTCTTTGGTAAGGTAGATATTAATGCAAGGAAACGGGTACCCTGGAGCAGCACTTTAGTTGTACAGGAATCACTAATGGCTTTGGACATTGAAGTTAGCCTGGGCCTGCAGCTAGACCAGTCAAACCTCCATAGTCAGCATGCCCACCTCCACAGAAAGTCTGTCACATCTCAGTGCCGTGCTGTTGAACGATTTGCTCGGGAGTTAAACGTGGTCTGTTAACGGCGCTGTGAATTATTTCAGCAAGCGCTAATACGCCGGTATCCCTGTGTCTCTGCACATTACCTCTGCCCTGAATTGCACACGGCATGCAGTTTTTCCCAGAAACAGATTGTTGTCCTGCGCACAGCAAATAGACATGGGTCGTGTTTCTTTCATTGATTGGATTTAAAGAGCAGCCAAAGCTACAGCTCCACTGGGATCTGGTATTCATGTGACCCCCCCCCCCTGCACTGTCTGCTGGATTAAGCTCGACTACCCTCCTGAGGCAAACGGTCATTGATGCTGCACTGGATCCATATCTAGAACAGAACACAGAAGAGGACGGTGGGGGGGGGGGGGGGACATAAAGCTGTGGGCAACACAGAAACATGCTGAATATAAAGTGTAATTCATTGGTGGCCTGAGGTTTTAGATTATAATTAGACTGTAAAATGATATGTGTAGACAAATTTAGTCTGATGGCCAAGGTAAAGTTGAAATGAAATCACCCTTAAACTCATTTAGCTCTGGGACTTTTCTACCTTCTGCACAGCAGGGGGCAGTTTAACTCCAAAGTCACTCATGAAGGAATAGTAGAGGATGTGTGGAAGTGGAAGTGTTCTTTCTAAGCTCCCCTCTGTCTGTGCGCACAAAGGTGAAGGGACTGGGACGGCTATACTGTGATCCAGGCTGATGTCTGTCTGCTCTGGTACGTATCAGCCCGCCACTCATCTGAAAGATAAACCGTCCCACAGCACAACAGACGCATAAACGTGCACTTTACCAGCCATCGCTCAGGGGTTACATTGGCACAGCACAGTGTTTTCATTAGGCAGGTGGGCAGGAAGGACAGAAGGCCATGTTTCTCCAACAATACAAGTACACAGTGGACATGTTCTTATTCAAAGCCTTTATCTTCTCAAGGTAAAGTTAGGTCTGCTCCATCCGAGCCGCACGGTGCACGTGAGGCTGTCTCTGTGCACTCTGGGGACACGCAGTTAAGTAATGGGGTTTTTAAGTGTGGGGATATTTTTATCCTTTCATTTCACTCAAGTTCGAAATATTTAAACCAGCTTCACTTTTTCGCTCCATTATGAATTTCGGTTGGAAAAAGTGTTCACATGGCATGTGAAAATAACAGCTCCGGCTTTAAAAAACAAAAGATAATCAAGCCTTGTATTGGTTTATTATGATTATGATTATTAATCAAACAATGAAATACTAATGACTTGTTAGCATTATGTTTAACAGACTCATAGTGATTTTTGGGATTAACTTTATGATTCTTGACTGACAGCCTGTAGCACTGTCAGCGTAAAGTAGTGATGTTTATTGATGTATGACAGTGATATATAACAGTGACTATGGTATCAATCATTAGTATATTCATTTGGTCAACAATGACAACTATTTACCAATTACAAGTAGGACAGAGAAATATAGAAAAAAATCATATTATGGTCCAGTGGAGGTGCATTCTGGGGGGAAATGAAACCAAATCAAATGTAAAAAAAACTAAATTGAGAGGCAGAACTACCTTTAACAATGATATTGTGTATTAGAGCTCCGGTGATGATATTTATATTATGGGTTGGAGATCTCTTGGAAGTCCTTATGAGATACAAATAATACCATTAAGTGTGACTACATATTGAGGACTGCAAAAAATTTCATTTTTTATTTTATATCTCTTACTCTTATATGAGTTTAAAAGGTATTAGGAAGAACTTTTTTTTTTTTTTTTACAAATGTGTACAATTAGACTTATTTGGCCAGATTTACTTGTGTCCTAGTGAAACAGCAGTTTGTGTTACGACGACAGGAAATGAAATACGTTTGGCTTGGCATGCAAAATTTCATATTCACATTTTGCCATTTTCCTTTTCCATCGCGAGTTGTCTCTCGCATAATGTGACTCCAAAGCCAGGTGACAAGCAGCTGTGGATACGTGCGAAAATGCTTAAGAAATGCGCAACAAAAATATGTATGGAGGCCTTGTGACGGGAGTCCTTCTGCCGCTCAAAAGAGCTCCAGCTGGATTTCTGGCCACCGCCACCTGCTTCCGTGAGACTGCAGCCGGGTCCTGCGGGAGCTGTCCCAGTCCCGGTGCAGCCCTCCAGCGTGAATCATCCGACAAAGGTGCCGCTATTTTTCGCGACAAATTCCGGCAGTCATTAAGAAAGGCACGAAAATATGTCCGCTTACATAATCAAGTTGATTGACACTCTGGCTTAGTGCCACTGCGCAAGCTCAACTATAATGCAATGAAATTCAATTAACCAATCAAATCAGCGGAATGTAACTGACACTTACTTTAAAGAGTGAGCACCATTGCTGCGGAAAATACTAGTAAAGCCATGAAGTGTGTAACACATAATGAAACGGATGGAAACAACCCCCTAACTTTGCCTGTGCCCTTTGGTCTCTCTGACAGACTCACTCGGTGTCTGTACTGTGAGCTCCTGCTTTTATGTTCATATCAAGTTCCTCTTTTAATTCCAACACTGTGGTCAAGCCCAGCTAAGCAGCTGTTTTTGTTTCTTCTTTTTTTTACTGCCTGCCTGCTTTCTTGAGATTTGCATTGGGTCCCTTGAGATGTGAAATTCCCAATGCAGCGAAAGCATAGCTTTTTAAAAACTAATTTGAAGGGTATCTCTTTTTTTTTTTGTCTTACCACAATCTATGACGACTTATTCGTTTAATTAGAACACAATCGATGGACTGCCATCAATGTTTAGGATTGCACTTTTACCATGTATCATCTTATTAGAAAAAAATCATATTAAAGGGCACCTTAAAAGGTCCTGCTACAAATCAATATCAAATCCAAGCAGTGCCACTATATCTCAATTTCTCTTTGTCACAGCTTAAATCAGCTCAATCACAACTATTGCATTAAAAAAAACAGCATTGTGCAGGAAGTAATCAACTCAATCCACTGCTTTGAGTGCCATGCTGTGTGTCGTACAACATGGCTGCTTTGAGCCAACTGTAATGCAAGTCACTTAAGACCGGGACTCTAACAAGTTATCTTAGCTAATGGCTGATATCGAGCGAGTCACTTATCACTGTACGTCTCTGATAACTGCCAACCTTGGTTGTAATTAAAGGTTTGAGGGGGAGGTCTGAAGCAATCTGCTGTAGATGCTTTCGCTGCTCCTGTCATCCTAGGAGTCTCTAATGATCTGTCTGGGATTGTGATTGATGAAGCACTTAGCGTGGAATCAAAGCAAAGGGAACACTTGCCGCTTGCTAAGCTGTTTGCAAACTAACAGCCACTGTATGTGCTCAACACAAGTCTATTACCGAGGTGTCCTTGATCTGAATTAATGACCTCCCGAGTCGACATCAGAGGCAGAACTTAATGCACAATTAAAGTTGATTGACATGGCTCAGCAGAGACATAAGCTACTAATGACTTGGGTCAATGAATCGGGCTGAGAAGTGAATACATTTATTCTTGTTTACTGATGAATAGGGAAAAAATTCTTGAAAAAAAAAAGATTAATAGAAAATTCAGACTTCCAGCAAGGACACAGCACAACCGCGAGGCACTTTCAGTCTCGTATTGTTGGCGTACACGTAATTGGCCAAGGGTAAGTAGTGCACGCTTGCACATCCAACACAAAGAACCTGCGTGCAAAAATCAACCCACTCAAGCCCTTTTATGTCTTGCTCAATCAGAAAGAGAACAATGGAACGCAGACGTAATGAGACGAGGGACCTGAAGTGTTTCCTAAAAATACGCGTAGGATCACCACGAAACACAAAAGTCTGAGAAACGCTGCTCAGATAAATGCGCTTTTCCCTTTTTTTTTTCTTTCTAAAGGCTCCTTGTTTTTCCCCTCTTTTGTGATTACTTATTCATTTGTTTGTTGATTTCTTTTTCATTGCCTCGGGTGCAGAGGGCATGTGTTTGATCTGTTCCCATGGCAGTCGTCGCTAAACAGGGAGGAAGGCTGCTCCTGCTTTCAGGTCGAGGGGAGGAGAAGGAGACATGTCTGCTTATTAGCAGCTGAATTATAAAAAATAGAAATAAAACGCTGATTAATCCTTTGAGACTTTGAAAAGAATGGGATGAAAAGGGAAAGAACGGGGCCACGGCAGCATTCCTTACCGTGAAAAAAAAAAGGCATGTGTGAGAGGTGGCAAAAGGAAGGCCGTTTTTTTACATGCCAGTTCTCCGGTTGCTGACCTCTGGCCCTTCTGGAGGAGTCACTGGGTCAGTTTTTTTTACAGCCGCTTCCCTTCAAACTCCTTCCAGAAATCTCTCCTTTGTGATGCGGCATGAAAATAAAAAAGTATTTGTTAAAGCAAGTGCTCACTACATGGCATGGAATTCTTATGAGTTTTGAGGGAAATG